ACCCCCCCGTCATGTGAGGATATGGCAAGAAGTCTGCAGCCTTGAAGAGGGCCCTCACCTGACCATGCTGGCACGCTGATCTTGTGATTTTAGCCTCCAGAACTATGAGAAATAAATTTCTGTTGTTCATAAGCCACTCAGTCCGTTGTATTTTGTTATAGCAGTCCTAATGAACTAAGACACTAACTGTCTGCATTTCTGAATAAAGACGTAAATAAACCCTGTAATACATGACTGCTTATCTCCTTAGGTAGCTAGTAGAGAAAATGAGAGGACCTAGATTCCTATATCTTGTGTAAATTGAGAGATCTGGCTTTCTAGCTCTTACCTAAAGTAAATTGAACAGTTGATTGACCATCCTAGAGCCAAGGCAAGGTTGTTTAAAAAAAACCCCAAACTGTGTAATAATAACAGTAAATGATTTTTGACAGTATTTTCTTTTTTAAACCATATACTTTCCTCCCAGATTTCTAAACCTATGTATCCGATTCAGTAAACATCTTCACTAAAATGTCCCATAAATAGCTTATGAAAAGTTAGAATTCTTTCTCTTGTAACTGACTGATATCTGCATAAAACTGCATTATATCATTGGGGAAGTTTTTGGCTCCTAGTACTTAGAGAAGACTTCTGAAAGTCCCTTGGACAGCAAGGAGATCAAACCAGTCAGTCTTAAGGGAAATCAACCCTGAATATTTGTTGGAAGGACTGATGCTGAAGCTGAAGCTTCAGTATTTTGGTCATCTGATGAGAACAGCTGACGTTTTGGAAAAGACCCTGATGTTGGGAAAGATTGAAGGCAGAAGGAGAAAAGGGCATCAGAGGATGAGATGGCTGGATGGCATCACCGATGTAAGGGATATGAACTTGGGCAAACTTCGGGAGGTGGTGAGGGACAGGGAGGCCTGGCCTACTGCCGTCCATGAGATTGCAGTGAGTCAGACACGACTGGGGGGCTGAACAACCACCACTTGGGAAAAGCGGAAATGGAACTGACCTCAGGGTCAGCTAGATTCAGAGGCTCAGATGGTGTTAGGTTATCAACTCTTGGCATTGTACGTTTTTCTTCTGACAGTAGGCTGCTTTCGTGTGGTAAGAGCGGTGACCACAGGCAGCCAAAAACTGACATTGTCTACCTTTAGTGAACTCAGAAAAAAGAACGTCTCTCCCAGGTTCCCTGTGAAAAACAGTCCAGCCAAAGTCTCTGCTCATGCTGTCTGAGGCTCGAATAAACCCTTCTAGGGCCAAGTTGTGTAGCAGTATTATTGGAAGTATACTTGTATGTATCAGTTAAATATTGGTTGGACTGTTTTAACAGAAATAACGGTAACTTAAAGGAAGTAGCCATTCACTTTCTTTCACATAAAATCCCAAGCTAATAGATGGTCTGAGGGCAGATTGGCTCTATTTCTCAAGTGTTCATGCTCCTTCTTTCTTGGGATTCTGCATTCTCTCTGGTTTCCCCCTTGTCTATATGATGATGGATCACTGCTCTTACATCTGCCTTCTATCCTGAAAGTAGGGAGAGAGTGGAAGGCAAGCAGCTGCTTTTTAAGGGTACAACCCAGAAGTCGCACCACTTCAGTTTACAAATGGTTGTCTAGAACTAGTCACATGATCAGACTTATGCTAGGAAGGCTAGAGAATATAGGCTCCATCAGGTGGCCATTATTCTAGCTAGAACTGGTTGGGAAGTGTGGAGGGATGTGTACCTTTGAAGGGAAAAATAGATCTTAGAGTAGTCATCTCTTGTCACAGGCAGTTTTATTGGCAGCCTCACCATAATCAAATGGCTGTACTTGATTTTATAGGGGAATACTAGTTCCTAAAGGTAAGACGGATAGAGGGATCATTAATGGAAGATATCAGAGGTGGAAGAGAGAGCATGACAGACAAAATTGACACCTGTATCATATACCTAAAAATAAACACATCTGAAACTTAGCACCTTTCAAAACAGTATGTAATATTTGTCCAAATTGATTTAATGGCTGCCAGCCAATCAGCTGTCCAAACTAAATGTAGGGCTAATTACACACTTCTCTTATTCTTTCCTTCTCAGTCGCTGTTGATACTTAATTGATGTGACTCCAGTCCCATGGATTCTCCTTCTCCCCACAATTACTTCTTTAGTTCAGGCTCCCTTCCTCTCATTCTTGGGATATTTGGATACTCTCCTCTCTATAGTCTCCCAAGAGAGCCTGAGTGATATCAAAAGACCAATATTACCATGTCAAACCCTTGCTTAAAACAACAAAACAAAAATCTTATTTGCTTCCCATTGCCTTCATGATAAAGTGTAGCAGGTTATAAAATGCTCTGACTCTTAACTAGCTAGCTTCTCTTACTTTTTAGTGTCCTAGCATTCTATTCCTATTAAAATCCTACCAGTCTCCTCAGTATCACACTGTTTCCTCTTTCTCTGGTTTTGCCCTTTACTATATTTTCACCTAGGGCTTCCCTGGTGGCTCAGTGGTAAAGAATCTGCCTCCAATGCCAGAGACGGGGGTTCAGTCCCTGGGTTGGGGAGATCGCCTGGAGAAGGAAATGGCAACCCACTTCGGTATTCTTTCCTGGGAAATCCAAACACCGCTTTTTCTTCAAGGGGCTTCCCTGGTGGCTAAGATGATAAAGATTCCGCCTACAGTGGGAGCCTTGGGTTCAATCCCTGAGTTGGGAAGATCCCCTGGAAGAGGGCATGGCAACCTGTCCAGTATTCTTGCCTGGAGAATCCCCATGGACAGAGGAGCCTGGCGGGCTGCAGTCCACGGGGTCGCAAAGAGCTGGACGTGACTAAGCGACTAAGAACACACGTAGTTCAAAGAAATCTCTTTCTGGGAAACTTTCTCTGGCCCTCTACTTCTTCCACTAACATTTACTTCTCTCTCCTTTTGCTACCTCTGTCATCTTAGTCATTGCAAATATTTGTTTACTACAGTCTTTTTGATTTGATTATGAATCCCTGTGGGACCTATATCTTTTATCTATATCCCTAGTGTCTGACACAATATAAATCCTTAATAAGTATTTATTGAATGAATAAATGAATTGAGAAATCTTATCTTTCATATAGTGGTTTTCAGTTATTTACTACCATTCCTATTATAAAGGTGTAAAGTGTAGGAAGAAATTGTTTTAAGTTTGCTTCTTTAGGTAATAAGAGGAGTATCTTTTCTTATTTGCGTATAAGTTTTTATAATATAAAACAAAATTTGAGTTTTTATTTCATGTAGAGCTGATTTTTCTGAGGTTCTCTCAGACTTCTATAACAAAATACTGTAGATTGAGTGGCTTAAACAATAATTCTGGAGGTTGGGAAATCCAAGGTGAAGATGCCAGATTTAGTTCCAGGCAAAGGCCCTGTTCCTATAAGTATCCCTGCTCCCTCTTACTCTTGGTTCTAAAGAATTTTAACATCCTGTCAATATCGAGTGAATTTATATTTATTCTTTAAAGTTGCTTTGAATAAATGATATCCTCAAGGGGGTATTTTTTGAAATTGTCTGTGTCATACCTGGACATGTTTAAGTGAAGGCTTAGGTTCATTGAGTAGACGGAATATTAAGTTCCAAGTAGTAATTGAGTGGAGGGGTAAATTACAGGGTGTTTTCTAGTACCGTATTAAGTGAAGGTTGTGCTGGTGGTTGACAGAGGTGATGTGGGTGGTGGTGAGAGGTGGGCAAGATGAGTGAAGGGAGTGAAAGTGTAGAAACTTCCAGTTATGAAATAAGTAAGTCCGGGGATATAATATACATCATAGTGACTGCAGTTAGTACTGTACTACATATTTAAAAGTTGTAAAGAAAATAAATCTTAAAAGTTCTTACCACAAGGAAAAAATTTGTAACTGTGTGTATTGGATATTAACTAGACTTATTATGTGATCATTATGCCATATATACAAATATCCAAACATTTTATGGTATATCTTTAAAATAATATGGCTATATCTCAAGAAAGAATAATAAAGTAAATATTAAATCAGATAATAAAGCAAAAAAAAAAGTGAGGGCTGTGTTGTATCAGTCACACCATATTATGAGAAAACAACTGGTTTACAATTTTATTAGAGATAGAAACTTAGTGTTTATTTAAAAGCAGTGCATGGGGATCATAGAAAATTTAGAAAATGCATATAAATATAGAGAAGAAAATAGAAAACTCTGTGTCCTTGTATATGATTATTTTATAGTGATACATGCCTTTTACCTACTTGTTTGTTATAAAATGGGATAGGATACATGGGTTTATAATTTTTTCCCTGTCATTTAAATTGACTTTCAAAACATGTTTATTTCATATTATTCTCTGAATGATATATGTAATTGGTTCCCAGGGTTAGACTTTGAAGTGGCTTTGTATTTACTAAACTAAATACTCTTTAAGTATTCTTTACTAAGATTAATACTTCTTATAGTTTCTTTTAAAAACGTTATTAAAATCTATTGGTCTCTAAGATTCTACCTTTGGTGTCATGTTTAGACATGTGAAGACTAGTATTTTATGTTTTATTTATGGTATTTTAGCAAATTTTTCAGTCTATCTGAAATTTATTGAGATGTACTGTATGAAGTTTGAGTATAATTTTAGAATAATTTTTTGGAGCCTGCAGTTTATGTCAAGAACTTTGTCAGGAATAGAGGATCATATCACTTATCTATTCATGCTAAATAACACTGAGTTTCATGTTTTTTATGATAACCAAAAATCATTAATAATACGATCAATAATAATGATTGAACAGAATTAGTGAACTATCTCTGAGAATCTGGCTCACTTACTATATTTTAACATACCTCTAGCTTTCTACATATTTTTCCAGTCTAGCTTACTCAGGAAAATGTTATAGACAAATGTTCTGTTTTGAAAGATTCCTTGTTTCATTGCTATTTGGTTTGTAATGAGAGCATACCTTGTACATTGTTAACTTACAGATGTTACAAAATATATTTTCTATATTTTTACTAATTTTGCAAATATATTTATTTTGGTCTTTCTAGAATCTGTGTTTGTGGTTATCCTCGACAACAAGTAAGAAAATACAAAGGTATAAGTAGCAGGGTACCAGTTTCTTCAGGATTCATGGTGCAGATGTTAACAGGAATTTATTTTGCCTTGTAAGTTTATTTCATATACAAAGTTAACCTTTGATCTCTTTGGAAAATTATAGTCTTATTGTTACTGCATTATAATCTCAATAAATAATCTGCATATTTTTGTGAAAATATGAATCAATATCTAATACGTTTTATTATTTAAAATCTTTTAATATTCTAAAGAATATATAACCAACTAAAACACTTTGTCATCTTTAATTAAAAGACAGAATGAAAATTATTGATATGTAAATACACTCACAGTTTCTTTTGTCATTACTTATTTTTATTTTTTTGCTGTAATTTCCAAATAGCATTTTTCCCTAATGAGTATCTTTTTTCCGTTTCCAGAAATTTTAATTATTGAAAAACATCTTAAAGTCTCTTTCATCACAAAGTTTGTTATGAATATGCTACTAATTTCTAAAATCAATGATATCTTGTTTGTTGCTTTAGGTGTTAATACTTTTCCTTGAACCTGATCTTTTACTTTCTAATTCTCTTACTATATATATTATATTCACTTGATACCCTAATTTTCCCTAGTAGATTATAAACTTCTTCCTTTTTTTTTTCCTTTTGGCCACACCACACAGCTTATGGAACCTTAGTTCCCTGACCAGGAATCCAGCCTACATCCCCTGCTTTGGGGAAGCATGGAGTCTTAACCACTGGGCTGCCAGGGAAGTCCTGATTATGAGCTTCTTAACTGATGGAAGAATTTATGATCTTTGGACCAAATCTGATCTGCTCCCTTAAAAAAAAAAAAGTTTTATTGAAATGCAGTGACATTCATTTATATATTGTCTGTGGCTGCTTTTGTGTTACAGTGACAGAGCTGACCCCACGAACCTAAAACATTTATTATCTGGCCCTTTAAGAAAAATTTTGTTGACTCGTGTTAGACCAGTAATATTGCTCCAAAGCTCTTGAATGTTCTGATCTATTTTCCTTTTTCTCTTTTTTTGTTGTGTTTCTGATTGAGTAATTTCTGTTGATCTGTCTTCATGTTCCTTGATTCTTTCCTTGACTGTGTTAAGTCTACTAATAAGCGCACTGAGAGCATTCTTTACTTTTAGTCTTTTCATTTAGCTTTTTCTTATAGTTCCTATCTCTGCTGAACTATCCATCTATTCATGCATGTTGCCCCTCTTTTCCACTAGAGACTTTAATATATTAATCTTAGTGATTTTATTTTCCCCAGTAACTGTAGCATTTGAATTTGGTTCTGTTTTTCTTTGTCTCTTGACAGTGGGTTGTTTTGTCTTTTGCTTTTTGTGTGCTTTGTAATATTTGACCATCATTTTGTTCATGAGTAGGACAGTAGAGATTGAGGTAAATATTATTTAAGCCTAGAAATGGATATGCCACTTTTCTAGTATACCGGTAGAGTTATTATAGAGAGGAGTGAGCTGGGACTGGATTTCGTTGTTGCTATGGTTACCTATATCGCACCACCTACTTCAGATTCCTTTTATGTTACCTGGTACTTACAGCTGGAGAGTTTCTCCTCAATATTCTTGCTCTATCCTCAGCTTTCAGCTTTCCCGGTGTGTCTGTATCTCAGAGAGGGTCTCTCTCCATGTTCTTCCCTCTCCTCTAGCAGTAGAGTGCTGTTGCATGTTTCTAGATATGTACTAGCCTGGTTCGGGGTGGTGGGGAGGAGGAAGTGGTATTTTCTATTGTTCTGGTCTAGTCTCATTTCTAAGCAGGCCCTGAGTCCTTGCTTATCAGGGTAGGAGTTCCTCAGTGGTCCTGACTCTTCCCTGCAAGTAGAGGTTTTTTCTTTTTCTCCCCCTCACAGCCAGAGTTGGTCTTTGCCTGTGCCCTCGGGGTGAAATGGTTTGCTCGTCTTTCCCCAGGGGCTTTGAACTTTTGTTCTGCTGACAGGGCCTGGCTGGACCTTGGTGCCTTTTTGGCTCTGGTGGCGGCCTCTTCCTTCAGGCCTGCACTGCCAAGAGCAGCTTTCTCTGGTCCCCTGCTTTGTGCTTAGCTTTTCTTACGAGTGCCTAAACGTGGTTTGTGAAGAAGAGCTAATGAGTGGGTATGAATCCCCTTGCATCTACTTCCAGAGTGTCTGTACTCTTGTCTGGCCCACACTTGGCTTTTAGGAATTTGTTGAAAAGTTTAGCTGAATTTCTCTTACCCACCTGCATTGTGGCCTGAGTCTCCTCAAGGGCACTTGACTGCTGTTGACTGCTGGGCTACTTGGCTGCCCTGTGACCATAGCTCCTTATTGCATTCATGAGAAGTTATGATTTTTTAGATTACTTGGCTTTATCTTGTGTTTAGGGTGAGAGCAGTGCTCTTTCCATTTTTTAGGCCTCACTTGTACTCTTGATGTAATTCACACTCCTTTATTTTGTTATCATATGAGAAAGCCATTATTTCTCTGTCCATTCCATCATTGAGCCAATTTTTAGGAATGGTTTGGCCATATCTTTGAAAGTTAGTCCACACACACTTTTTCCTCTAATATCTCTGTGATATGTGTAGCATATATCATATACACTTCTAACTGACTATGTGAATGCAAAGAAATAACTACTTAGGATGCTGCAAGCCACAGTAGTTATAGATTTTCATTAAAAACTGTGGGAGTTACAGAGTAATTTGACCATTAAGTGTTCTGAACATTATTCCAAGGTATATAATTTATTATGCTCTGACTTGCTTTGAAAGCATAAAATGCTTTGAAATTGCCTAGCTTTTTGGGTACATGTTTTATAAATAGACATGTTCTTTAGAGAAGAAATGCATATCTATAAAATTTTCTGTTAATAGACTTTCAGATATAATTGAAAGGAATTCAAAGATTTAAAAATACATTTTTAATGAGGGTAGAATGCTAAGAAGTGTGCTAATATGATCAATTATTTTCCTCATTAAAGATAAAGTTTCTCATTATATCTTATTTAATTTATATAGAATTAATTTAAAATAATTATACTTAATTTTATAGTTACAATGGAGAATGGGATCTAGCTCAAAAAGCATTGGATGATATTATATACAGAGCCCAGCTAGAATTATATCCAGAGCCATTGCTGGTAGGTGCCTCACTCATTTATGTAAATTAAAATTTCTCAGCTTAAAACTATAAATTAAGAAGCCATTTGTAGTGCATTAATATATTATTAATACTCAATGATTCATGCTCCTCTTATAATAGAAAACTTTTATACTTGAAAAAGGTATACATAATTTGAAATTTTCATTAAGCTAACTTCTTAGCCTGATAGTCCTTTTCATATGTAAGAATGTTCTCATTAACATGCTAGAGCTGCATTTATTAATTAGCATTAGGAAATATAATTTAATATTTTTGAATTTTAAATTTCATCACATATATTTTTAACTGTGAATTTTGTTCTTCTTAATGTAGAGGATTTATGTATCATGATATATCTTGGAGGAATTATTCTTTTTAAAAACCTGTTAAAATTTAGCATCTTGTTTTATCTGAGTATAATAATACATCTATTCAATAACAATCTTAAACTATATTTTTCCTTCTTAGGTTGCCAATGCAATACAAGCTTCATTGCCTCACGGTGCCATGAGATCTAGTAAGGAGGGTACAAGGTGTATTCAAGTTGAGATCACACCAACTTCCTCTAGAATATCAAGAAATGCAGTAACCAGCATGTCAATAAGAGGTCACAGGTGGAAAAGACACGGTAAGAAACAAAACACTCTTCAGATTAGAGGATTGTTAGTGCTGTCCCCTTCTTTGTACTTAAGGTGCTATAACTTCTAAATTTAGTAAATAATATTATAGTGGCATGGAATAAAGAGCTGTTGGATCACCTTTAGCTTTTCATTTACTATCCATGAATGGCAGTCAATAGGAAAACAGAGCCCTTATGTTACACGTATGGATGAAAATTTATTTAAATGTTGAATTGGCTTTAAATTTCATTTCAACACAATAGGACAGTAGGAAATACATGTTTCAATTATTAATACATTTTGTGTTTCTATTCACAACTGCATCCAAATATTCCTAATGTTCTTGATTTTTGAACTCTTTAGCAGGTATACTTGCATACAGGAATAGAACAACTATAATATAGGGACTTAAACATTTTCTTCTGAAAGTGTTAGTAAAGAATCCTATAGTATTGATCCAACTCTAGATATTTCTATATTCTGGAAGTTAAGTTTCTTGCAAGATTATTTGTTTTATTATTCCTTCTTGACTGCTTCATTTTATTCTTTAAAAATTCTACTGGAAGTTAATTTTATTTACCATGACCTTCTCAGTTTTTTCCATCACTCTACTTTCTCTTATACCTTATTTTTTATTTGATTTCTTGGTCTTTTTATAACCCTCCTCCTACCTAGACGTTGTTGTAGTTGGCGCACATCTGTGTAAGAAGATTACTATCACCTTTCTAGAAGTTAACCACAGAATGGGAAACAAAAAGCTGCTTCTTTGCCCCAAGAAAGCATATGTATTGGTGTAAAACAAAATCCGCTCTCTATTTTCTTCTTCCTACAAACTGCAATGAAAATGGTAGCTCCTTTAGTATATTTGATAGTTCTAGTTGTCTCTATGATATCTATAGAGAAAATGCAAAAGTGCGATGATTCACTGTGAAATAGAAAGTTGATAGCAGTTGCCATTGTTCCTTGCAGGGAATCTAGAAGGCTGTTTGTCCAAAAAAAAAAAAGATGATGGAATTCTCCAACTTAACCAATGATCATTTTCAGTCTTTTCTTTTTTTAAAGTGATGTAATAAATTCCTGAAAGTCCTTTAGGAAGGCACAAAAAGGTGGAAATATGTTTGCCATTATCAAGGCAAATTATGCTATTGTTTAAAATATAGGATCTAAACAGTTTCTACATCAGTTTCTTCAGTGAAATTTATGCTACAGTTTGACTAGATTACAGACAGAGTCATTTAATTAGATGTCACCATGTTACCCTAGAGGTCAGTTTTTTGTCTGGGCACTAATAGGTGAAAATAGGCACAGAGGCGATGAATCAGATCGTATGGGTCCATTATGGCCATAATCGCTCAAAAACTACCACTACAGGAAATGCAAGGATGAATTTTAATTCCTTTTCCACTGTTGCTTCTTTCTATTTAGGTGGACATATTGGGAACTAGGGGGAAAAATATAGGTCTTGTAGTTAAAAATGTAAAATATTGAAGTTTTAATGCTTAATTATATTTGTATATATGTACATGTGAAAGAGAAGGTTTGCATATGTGTTCATAAATGCATTTAATGAGATAAGATGTGTACCCAGCAATAAAATAGAAACCATTTTTCAGAAATATTGTATAGCAGTAAATTACCAAAACAAGAAAAGACTACTTGAGTATATTGTATGCACTAGATTTTTACATATCTTCCGGATTTTATTTTGGCTACCACTTGAAGGGTTGGCACAGTATCTTAAGGCTCCAGCCTCATAGGCTACAGCCTTTCTCACTACATTTATTCAACCTTTAAAACTCTGGCACTTGGGCAACTCCTATTTATGATAATAAAAAAATTAAGGATGATGATTTAGAAGAGAATGCACTATGAAAAGCAAGTCAGATGCATGTAGCAGAAACAGAATGTAGCTTAGTCTTGACCATTCATCTGCAGTGTGAATTCTCTTTATCCAGTGGACTCTAAAATATTCCTAGGCTAAGGTCCTTGTTTATCTCCACAGGTAGACTACATTCTCCCTTTATAGAGCAATCTTGGCTTTCCTTCCTAGAGCAGTATTTTTCATTGTTTTGCTGAACTGAAAGCTTTTCTGTTTTCCATCACCATGGTCCTGATTCCTATCTGAACACCTTGTCATTGTTCTGGCTCTAGCTGACACTGGCTTCTTGTGGAGAAGATAGGTATCTTTACTATAGTTCTTAAATTCTCAATTTGTAAATGGATTTTTAAATTAAATGTGTTTATATAGATTATGTTTATTCACATATGAATTATATATAAATTATAATGAATTTAATTTATACATTAATTTTTGCAGAAACAATGTTAAAGGGCTTGTGGATTCTAGGGTGATCCACAAAAGACTTACTCTCATAATGTTTCTAAAGCATAGCACTGTAGAATGTAAGGTTAGTTTATGACTATGTGAAAACACATTCAGAGTTTCTTTGTTTGGTGGAACACTAAATGCATTTTGTATTCGACCTATATCTCTTATCATTCCCTTCCAACACCAACCCTCCCAGAAGGAAGGATTTCTTCTCAGACCCTGAACTGTATCACATGGTAGGAACATGGAATATGCAACTTTAACTCAGTGATGATGAGGGTTGGGGTAGGAGAAGGAACATGAAACATGAATGTTAAGGAATATCCTTTTTTGTTCTCCTTGCTTCTTCCCTTGTTATTGCCAGTGCTGGGAAAAAAGAAAGCAGTTGTTCTTTTTTTCTTTTCTTGGATCTCTTCCCTTTTTCTTCTTATTTTAAAAATGAGATATAATTGACATGTAACATTAGTTTCAGGTGTACAGACAGGCGTCAATATATGAATACATTGTGAACTGATCAGTAAAGTATATCTAGTTAATGTGCATTTCCACACATAATTACCTTTTTGCCCCCTCATAATGAGAATTTGTAAGATCTACTCTCTAAGCAACTTTTAAAATACACCATACAGTATTATTATTAATGAATAATGACCATGCTGTACATTGCATCCCATGATTTATGTTTTTATAACTTGAAGTTTGTATCTGTTGATCACTTTCACCCATTTCCCACCTCTGTTCTCTGTTCTCTATATCTAGTTCAGAGTTTTTGTTTGTTTTTTAGATTTCACATATTAGGAAGCTCACATGGTATTTATCTTTCTGTCTCTGACTTATTTCTTAGCGTAATGCCCTTAAGGTCTATCCATACTGTTGCAAATGACAGGAGTTCCTTCTTTTTTATGAATAAATAACCTATCACATTTTCATTATTTATTCATTTGTTGATGGATGTTTAGGTTGCTTCCATATTTATGTCTTCCTTTATTGCCTCTCTTCTTATTTCTCCATTTTCCATCCTAGCCGGGGAGAAAAGGGTCAGGAGTAAATAAGGTTACTGAAGCGGTCGGTCAGAATTTTGTTTTGTTTTTTTTCTTTGACTTTTTTTTCTTTACATCTCCCTATTTCATTAAGAAATATAGATAATTAAGCCATATAAACGTATTTGTTTGTTTGCATAGCTGAGTCACCAAAAATTGCACATGCAAAGAAATACATTAAATTGGAACACTTAATCACATGTTTTCTTTTTCTTATTTGTAACAAAGAAAAAAACTTTTTTTACAGCCAAAACCAATTCATATTTTAGTATGAAACTAATTTTGAACACTTTTAATCATTTGCATTCAAAAATTTTTTTCTGAACTCTTTCTGAATGTATTTCAGTATTCTCTGAAGCTTCCCAGATCTGCCATTCTTTTGCTAAAGTTAAGAATTTATCTATAAATATATTAATGGAAAGCATTCTTTTGGAAAACAAAAAATTGCTTTAGCTTTAGCATTTCCACACATTTCAGAACATAGATCCCTTGCCAGGACCTTATTATTGTTAAATAACCCAAATTTCTAGAGTTATATTTTGGCAAGTTCAATTTTTAAATTATTATTATTATTAATAGACTTTATTTTTTCAAGAGCAGTTTTAGGTTCACAACAAAATTGAGTGGAAAGTACAGGTTCCTGGATACCCTCTGACCACTACCCTTTATCAACATTCTTTATCCTCCCAACAGTCAACACCCCAAGGAAGAGAGATGTTGCAAAGCCCTGTCATTCTAATTTTGATGAGACAGTGATTAAACAGAATGATTTTTAAAGAAAAGTTAGTTTCTGCTGATATATTATTTTGGAGAGACATGTTTGACCATTGGTGTCTTTGCCTGATTTTCCCCACTTTTCATTTAGTTTTTTTGATATTGTACTGATGAAGCATAACTTAATGTTGTGTTTTCAGACTTTTGGAATTCTGTGTATAAATTTTTGAGAAAGTTTTAATGAATTTATAGTTCCATGTCAATATATATGTTCAGAAACTAAAATTATAATGTAGAATTGCTGCTTTTGACTTTCAAGGGTCATAGTTTCATAATTAATAGCTTTATTTATATATATTATTAATTCTTTCAAACATACTGTGTTTCATTTAGTATATATTTTTTAAACCTATATTTTCAAGCCACTTACAGATTGAGGGCTACTTAGAAGTTATAATTTGAAAGTAAAATGCAATTAGAGAATGATAATAATAGAAAAAAGATTTTTAAAAGCATTAAGTAAGGTAAGGAAGAATGTGAGTAGATTATGACCATAGTAAGAGTCAAAATGAAAATTCCAGTAATAAAGGTAAACTGTGAAATAATCAACTTTTTAAATTAATAATAAAAATGCAATTTTATTTTCTTAAATATTTATTACTTTTAAAAAAACATAGCTAAAAGAAAAGCAGAAGGTATTTCTTTATAATAATGCTTCTTGTCTATAGTTACTCTTAAATGTTGCTTCTAAAGCTTTTTTCATTATCTACCATTTCAGCTATGAGTCCTATTCTTAAATTCCTGAATAATTTTCTACAATCTATACTTATTTATTTCCTTTCACTTTTCCATTCCTTCTCTTCCAGAGCAAATTTAATTTCTTTTTTTTTGTCTGTTTCCCCACCACCACCACCATTATGACTCA